TGATACAGAGAAAAGCCAATACTAAGTTTAGTATTGGCTTTGTCTCTGATTAAAAGCGGTTATGGGTGTAAAAACAATAGTTGATTAATTTTTTAACCTTAAAGTTTTAATATTTTTAGATATTTTTGAGCTTTTGAGCTGGGGGAAAAACATTGTTAGTATTTAAAAGTTATACAAAAGAAACATTCCAAAAAGGCCAAAACATGTTACACACAAAACTTTTTAAAAAAGAGCATCTTTAAATTCTGTCCTTTCTCAAACCTTTGGAGCATAGTCATACAGTAGAGTTTACCTATTTCTTGAGGCCTTGCTCTACCTCAATTTTCATTAAATTTCTTGCTAATACATACAATACAATTTTTCAAAATTTGTTTTTTTTTTCTGCAAATACCTACTATTTATTATTGAAAAGATTTCTGCGTTAGAATCTTAGATATTGAACTTAACCTTACTTAAGATCAATATTGCCAGATCTCATGATAAATAACTACTATAATTAAGTCAAAAACACTTTAATCCAGTAAAAAAAAAAAAAAAAATTTAATAATTCAATAAATTTAATAATATATAATCAATACNGATAAGTTTTTTTTATTTGGTGAATTTTTTTACATATAAAGCTACAAAAAAAATGATATTTAATTTATATGCTACATCACTATTAGCTGTAGATCTTTCTGGTAAATAAAAATGTACGTTATATTATACATTAAATTCCTTTAATTTAATTTATAATTATTTGCTTACCTCTAAGTTTTTCGTGCTAATAATTGGACAATGTTTTTGAGCTGCCTCAGGTGATAATAATTCACATTCAACATCTACCATTCTAAATTAAAAAGTAAGAAATATATTCTCAAAATAATTTAGGTTAATTTTATTTCATCTTACAGAAAAAATTATTTATAAATTTCAATTATGATACTTATCCCATTTGCAAGATTTTTACTCTTACTTTGCAGCAGCAGCTAAACGTCTAAATTCGATCATTCTATCTTTCTTTCTAGCTAACAGTAAACTCCCACATTCTTTCCAACCTAAATTTTAAAAAATTGTTTTATAATGTTAAGTAAATATTTATTACTGTTATTTGCACTTGGTCCTGTCATGTTTATTAGAACCAAATTCAACTGTACTTTAATTTTTTGTTACCATTCTGCTTAATTGTATGTAATAACTTTCCTTTGACATTGCTAGGTAATTTATTGTCATTATTTTAAAATTAGATCAATTATTTCAGTAAATATAAATAAAATGTTATTTATCTATTAAAAATGTAAAAATTTATCAATTTTATACTAATTGCCTTTATAAATTTCTTCTACGATCAATATATCATAGATATATTACTACTAATCACATACTGTATATACTGAAAAATCCCTATATAACAGAAAACTTCTACAACACAGTTTTGCTCGAACACAGTTACAGAATTTTGATCGTAATTGTAATCTAATAATTGTAAAAAACAATTTTTATGATTACTTTAGAACTGAGAGAATCTTCAAATAAAATGATATTTTTGAATATACTTAAATATATAAATAAATGTATTAATTTTATTTTTAAAATATCTAAAAATATTAAATCAGAGAAAAGCCAATACTAAGTTTAGTATTGGCTTTGTCTCTGATTAAAAGCGGTTATGGGTGTAAAAACAATAGTTGATTAATTTTTTAACCTTAAAGTTTTAATATTTTTAGATATTTTTGAGCTTTTGAGCTGGGGGAAAAACATTGTTAGTATTTAAAAGTTATACAAAAGAAACATTCCAAAAAGGCCAAAACATGTTACACACAAAACTTTTTAAAAAAGAGCATCTTTAAATTCTGTCCTTTCTCAAACCTTTGGAGCATAGTCATACAGTAGAGTTTACCTATTTCTTGAGGCCTTGCTCTACCTCAATTTTCATTAAATTTCTTGCTAATACATACAATACAATTTTTCAAAATTTGTTTTTTTTTTCTGCAAATACCTACTATTTATTATTGAAAAGATTTCTGCGTTAGAATCTTAGATATTGAACTTAACCTTACTTAAGATCAATATTGCCAGATCTCATGATAAATAACTACTATAATTAAGTCAAAAACACTTTAATCCAGTAAAAAAAAAAAAAAAAATTTAATAATTCAATAAATTTAATAATATATAATCAATACGTACTGGAAGTAGAATAAGTTGAAAAATAAACTACACCGATATAAATCCAGCAACATTTAATAAAATAAAAACGTTTTCAATCGTTTTTCAATGATCATCATCAGTTACTAAAAATAGAACATTAAATATAGAACATAAAATGCGTTCGAAATAAATACAAAAATAAAAATTAACGGAAAACGCCCTGGTGGATGAACTAATGAAAAATTAACAAATAAATAGTGAAAAATTAATAATTGTAAAAAAAAAAAACCATAGGGATGTATAAACCATAGGGATGCCGACTCATTGTCCACTGCGTGGAGATCTTTTTACAATTATTAATTTTTCACTATTTATTTGTTAATTTTTCATTAGTTCGTCCACCAGGGCGTTTTCCGTTAATTTTTATTTTTTATTTATTTCGAACGCATTTTATGTTCTATATTTAAATTTAATAATGTGCTCACAAAAGAACCACAAAATCTCAGGAATTTTGGAATGGAAAAACTGAAATTTGAAGTTCTTTAAAATATTCTTTTGGAGCATCCATTAATAATGCATACAGTTTAACGAGAGGAGAGGATTGCAAACAGTATATCATTATTTACTGGGGGAGGAAATCAAGATACTGTCTACGTGAACTTTTTTTTAGTGGTATTAGCAGAATGCAAATTTGTTCATATAAGCCTACTTACTAGTCATGTGAATAAACTATCAGTTAAAAAATATTTGCAGAACCTTTTAAAGTTATATTTTCAATGTCAGGAGGGTCTACGGACTATTTTATACATAATTAAAGAGGAGAAAAGTTTGCCATTATACAGTACAGTACATGACATTGATGTGGAAGGGAAGGATTTAAAAGTGGCTCAAAAACTGTTCATGTAATTAATGAATGGTCCCTTTACAGTTTTCACAAATGTAGCTATCATTTATCTCTTTCCTAAACACAGAAAATAAATGCTTCAAAACAGTTTGGTCCCTGGGAGAGATAAGAGAATTTGAAAAATCTTCCCTAATCAAGTGCCAGTGTAGAGCAGATATTTTCATGCCAATCACACAAAAAGACCAAGTGGACAACGAGCCTGTGAAACCATCAGCCAAAATGTCATCACAGCTGTGAGAAGTGAGTTGTTCTACCATTACTGTGTTTGGCAAAGAAACAAAGGGTGCCCAATGCCTTTAAGATGTCATCGTATGCAATTTCGTCAAATGGATGAGTTCCATGAGAGATTTTATTATAGGTCTTTAATACTGCTGTTTGAACCTTTTGAACCTTATCCTTTTTATACTTGCCACCCACCAAATATTTCATAACGTTTTTGTGACCCCCATTTTTTAAATAATAATTTATATTTGTTAAATTATCTATAATAAATTGGTTTTATTATTATTGCTTTATTTTTAAAATTTCAAGCATTAATAGTTTCTTAGAATTACATTGGAATTAAAGAAGTAAATACTGCAGTGTAAGTAGCATATTTGCATTTATTTCTTCTGTACTAACAAAGTAGGAAGAAATAAGAAATAAAGTTTTCGTATTTAGTTTTTTTTTTTATCTTTCTTATTTCACTTTTCAATACGATATTTGGTTATACATTAATTTTCTTTTTATTATATTCTGAAGGAAATTTTGCATAATTTGGTGGCTCCCGGAAAACTTAACAGGGGGGCCCAGGGGTCCACGGCCTCCCTGTTAAGAAACACTGCTCTATGGTATCTACAGAGAAATATCTTGGCTAGCCAACATTAGTTTTGAATTTAAGAGAAATCCAACAGTTTTTTCTTTGCTGAGAAATGATAAAGAGACAAAGTTGATCTTCACTACCTGGCATTTACACTACTGCTATTTTTGATAACAGGATAGATCGGCACAATGAGTACGTTGGAGCTACCTGCAGACCATTGAATATTAGACTCGATGAACATCGCTATACCATTCGAAAGAGTTTGTGCAGAATGGCCCTTGCGACATTTGCTTACGACAAGGACGTCCAAATGGCTTTCAATAGCATGCATATCTTACATCAGTGTTTTTCAACCTGTGGGTCGTGACTCACAGGGGGGGTTGCAAAGCCTTACATGGTGGTCGCAGGTGAAAGAAACAGACAAGTGTTTGTAGGTCCTACACTATAATCTAGAATTTCAGTGAGAAGGCTGTGCCTGTTTATTTTACAGTACAATTGGTTTTTCGATTGATATTTAAAGAAAGAAAATTAAATATGTAGTTTTTAAAATCACTGATATAGTTTTAATATGGCCCTGGGGGTCGCCGGAATTTTTTAACTTGTAAAGGGGTTGCATATTCAAGAAGGTTGAAAAACACTGTCTTACATAATACATCTGTTTCTGTACAGCTCAAGTATCTCAAAAACCTAGAAATTTGCACAGTGACTAAGAAAGGTTTTCCATTAATTTTAAGAACACATCTTTGGTATCGCATTCTTGGAAAACTATTAAACACTGCACATATAACCAATATCCATCAAGAAGAAATTACAAGAAAGTGTAACATTTTCATTGGTGTTTAACAGGCATTGTCAGACTAAATGGAAGGCTATTTACAAAATCTATAACCTTATTTATATTTTTAGTTGTTTCTATTTGATTTTTCTTATTATATTTATTTTTATTTACATTTAATAATTTATTTTAATTTTTTCTTTACCATTCTTCCATGCATGCAACCACCAGCACAAATTTAGAGTCCCATTTTATTTAAATTTTGTTTTTTTGATTTTTTTGTTCTATGTAAGATTCTATAACCTGACAATGGCTGTTAAAGACTGTTGAAAACTTTTAATTAATATGCCTTTTTGTCCTTTTTTATAACTCTATTTAAAATTTATTTTGTATTACAAGTACAATCTATATATTAACAGGACTTATTATACTGGAATTATGGATGCAGATATTTAGTCTTACAGTTCAAAAATAATGTTCTTTATTTAGTAAATAAACTAAATAAAGAACATTATTTTTGAACTGTAAGACTAAATATCTGCATCCATAATTCCAGTATAATAAGTCCTGTTAATATATAGATTGTACTTGTAATACAAAATAAATTTTAAACAGTTGAAAACATTTGTTCTTATAATAAATTGTTTTTTTTTTAAACTAGGTTACAGGTATTACTGTGTACTTTTATAGTAATTATTGTAATTACATAAAAAATAAGTTACTTTTATATAACTTGTAATTATTTAATTTATTATTCAATTTTCTATGCTAAGAAAAATTTAACTCAAACATAAAGTAGGGAATTTTCATACAAATTAAAGATGACTGAAATTTACTGATAGTTCAGATTTGATTAGCACACCTGAATAAGCATTATAGAAAAAAACATAAAAAATATCCAATTGTGTAATAAGAAATAACATTTTCTTCCAAAATAAATAAGTATCATTATTATTATTTAAAGTTTACCTGTATTAAAACCTTTCTGATGAAATTCTTTATATAAATTTATGCTATACTGACAAATCCTGCTTTCTATTGGAGAATGTTTAATCTGCCCTAATAAACCTGCTCCTTGCCAAGTTGTTCCACCACCAAGTCTAATTTAAAAAAAAGACATGAAATTTTATTTCTAATAAACTTTGAAACAACAAATTAATTTCTTACAAATTTTACCTTCCTTGTTCTATTAGCACTACATCTTTCCAACCAAAATCATTAACAAGGTGATAAGCAACAGAACATCCAACAACTCCTCCACCACAAATTACTACTCTTGCATTAGTTGGAATTTTATGAGAAATAAAATCCCATGTTATATTATCTTGCAATACAGAATGCTGCAATCTTAAAGATGTGAGAAAGTGTCTGCATGTTAACCAATGATGACGTAACCAATTTTGATTTAGTGGTAATTTGAAATGCATAACTGAAAAAATTTTTTACTTTTAAATTCTTAATAAAAGTAAAATCATATAAAATGATAAATAAATAAAATATGTACTTTAACTGTAATTATTCATAATTTATTTAATAATATTTTTATCTTTAATAATTTATAAGTAACAAAATCTATGAAATTATAAAATTTTTATTTATTTATAAATATTTCATATATATGCTATATCATTCATGTTGACAAATAATATATTTTAAATATATAACATAGAGTGAAATTACAATTTAAAACTTTGAAAAATTAGCAATTACACAAACTAAATTCAATGTTAAGCTTTCAAAACAGCACAACTTCCAAACTTCTCATTCCAATCCAGATATGCCTGCAAATCTTTCTCAGATACAGTTGCTTTAACTTGATTCAAAGCATCTAAAAAATCTTGCAGACAAATTGGTTTCACCTGATCTTGAGTGATGTGTTCTATGTCTGCAAAACTTATTTTTCGAATTGGTCCCAGAGCCGCTTCTTTACATAAATTTGCCATGTCAGATCCAGAATAGCCCTCCGTTCTATTTCCGATGTCAACGAAATCTTCATCGCTTAAGACATGTTTATGTTCTTTCAAAAGCGTTTTAATTATCTGTATCCTGGCCGTCGTCTCTGGCAATGGCACATACAGACGTTTCGCCAATCTTCTCCGAACCGCATCGTCCAGTTCTTGCGGTCTGTTCGTCGCACCAATCAAAAGTAATCTTTCATCTCCATTTGTGGTAGTGCCGTCGAGCTGAACAAGAAATTCTGTCTTTATCCGTCGCGAAGACTCGTGTTCAGATTCCGATCTCCGAGTCAAAAGCGAATCTATTTCGTCTATAAATATCACCGCCGGCTGATGACACCTGGCTACCGCAAAAAGAGCCCTAACCAACTTCTCACCCTCACCTATCCATTTAGAAGTCAAAGAGGCGGCACTCACAGAAAAGAATGTCGACTTAGTCTGACTGGCGATGCACTTTCCTATCAATGTCTTACCCGTTCCGGGTGGACCGAACAACAACACTCCCCTGGGAGGTCCTCTCAGTCCGGTAAACAAATCTGGTCTCAGCATCGGCCATATCACGATCTCTTTAACCGTCTTCTTTGCAAACTCAAGACCCGCAATGTCGTCCCAAGAGACAGGAGGTCCGTGGTCCACTATTTCATCGAGCATCAACTCCACCATCTTTGGATCGACGTTCTTCATCGCTCCATCAGTCAGGTCTCTGACTCCATTCCCATCATCCAGAGACCACTCCGGTGACACAGAATTTCGTCCAGACGACATAGCAACAGAACGGTTCTTGGCCAAAAGTAAAGATTTACTGTTTGGTTGGAAGATTCTCTTCTGTTGAGTCTTGGTCAACAGCCGTTTTGCTGACACGAACGGCATGCTCTTCGAATTATTTTTATTCAAACTTGTCTTCTCTCTGACTCCGAGTAAATTTTCATCGCTACTGCCGCTACACCAGACTCGAGCCCCTCCGTTCTGTCGAGACGTCTCAGCCACAGCGGCATCATGGTCCGATCTCGTCTTCTTCGCCAACTGGTGAGATGAGGACAGATTTCGTTTTTGGCCGCCCAGAGTGTCCCGTCCCTCGCATCCCGTCCACGCCTCGTCAACAGACAAGTTGCAACAGTCTCTAGAAAACGCAGCAGAAAGACACTCCTCAACCAAAGAGAGGTTTCTCCGACCCTGTTGACGACAGACACCAGGACCGACGGATGGACCTTCTGCCGAGCAAGAAGAGACAAGTTCGGACTTCCAGTGTTTTCCATCTTGCTTCACGGACGAGATTTTTAAAGCTTCTGCAGCATAACTCGAATCATCACCAACTACATCGACTTCACGCTCGTGCAATTTCATGCGTTCCCACATTAATAACTGCGCCGCATCAGAGGAGATTTGTTTAGACAAAGCGGCGTAGTTCAACTGACTAGCGATCAAATAATTAACATTTTTAACCTCCAACTTGTTGTCTTTGAAATCCTTACGCGAATTACAATTCCAATAATCTCTTATTATCTGATATTCACTCATATTACAGTGAAACGAAGTATATATAATTCAAAGATATCAAATAAATAATAATTTGCTACTCATTTACAAGAAAGACATTTTAAATAAACAAAACGCATAAAATCGACGAAGCCTCTCACCGATTATCGTCCTTGGCCATCGACATCTAAACTTAGAATTCGACGTAATTACATTTTGGCTCGAATAACGTGTCTATAATATATTATTTCAAATCTTATTTTAACTTGAAAAATAAAAAATGTTTACGGAAATAATTTTGATGTTTGAAATTACTAAAAAGAAGAAAAAGTGTTTCGGCTTTCCCCCATACTTCACTCTCCGCCATATACTAAGGGCGGAAAAAGTAACACTGTTCTGAGCACTAAGAGATATTTTCTCGAGCCCGTCGATGGTTGGCCAGATCCACAATGGGCGGCCGGATGAGGACGGACGAGGCTCGACGTATTCGGAACGGGTAACTCCAAAAAAACTTGTGTACTTTATTACGCGTATAGAAATTATTTTAATAGGAGAAAAGTATAAGCAGTGTAAACACATTTACACTTTAAAAATTTTTAAAATTTTAAGAAAATTCTTAAAGGGACAATTAAAAAATTGTGTTTTCTCACTTGTTCTTTCTCATGCACATAAGGAAAATAACAGTTACACGGCCGAGTCGACCTTTTATTTCAGGATACTCGTCCGCCTCTATACGCAAAACGTATACACTTTTTGTACTTTAAAATAATTCGTTCAATGTAAAACATATAAAAAATTCTACCATTGCATTAATTTGTTGTTTTATTTTCAAAACAAACATTTGTATTAAAGTGTTCCTATTTGAATTGGAGTCCTCGTTACACATTTTGCATTTTTTTATGATCAAATAGCTTTTTCCAAGGACTCTAGCAAATCGGATATTTTAACACGAAAAAGCACACTTTAATGCGTGACTCCGAAAAGACTTTTAAATAATATCCATTGCGGAATCGGTTAGTCCAGGGCCATGGCGTAGCTACTAGATTCAGCGCCTGGAGCAAGACGAATCGGTGCGCCTCCTTCTTCCTCAGAAGAGGTCTCGCGAAATTTATTTTGAACATTTAATTTAAAAACATATAAGTGCAAAGCCAAACGGTTAGGAATTGAAAGTTGAAATTTGGTACACAGTTAACTATATATGATCTTCCGATTCAAACCGAAAATCTTGTTTCTTTTTTCAATTCAAAACGTCAGTTAACAGATGACTATTGTTAACGGAAAAGTGTGATGTACAGGGGCAAGCCACTACTAGCTTGAGGTATTTTGAATTAAATGATTTCAAAATATGATTAAGAATTGCAGTCCGGCATTGTGACCGTGTCACAATAGACAATTGCTCGTAGTTATCGTTTGTTTGTGAAAATATTTACGATGAAAACTAAATTTTGATCTTTGTGGTGTTATGAAGCAGAATATCGAAGTTAAAATCCTTCTGAGAGGTAAAAAGGAGTTAATAATTGCGAGAAAAGGCATTTTCCCATCAAAAATAAACAAAGAAAACATGCCAGTAAGTGCAAGAGACTGATATGTAGAAACTACACCATTAAGATGTGTACAAATTGTGCACTATATCCATCATTGTG